TATAATGTGATCATGCCCACGCACATCGCGCGCTATACGATAATCATCCATGCAAAACCAAGCTTGAGACACACAAACATGTAGATGTCCACATCACCTCCGTAAACAAAGAAAGATTCAAGTTAATCTCGGCTACTTTTTGTTTTTGGAAGAAGACGCGCTGTGAGGAATAAGCCTTGAATTGTGATGCCAACACGGCTTAATCCAGTAGATGATCTCATTCTGATGAGTCATTTATTTTTACTTATATTAGTGTTACTGTGACATAAGCTTGTACACATTCACTTGTTGAATTTTTCCCAAACTATAATACCAGACTAAAATATGTCGAGTGCAACATTTTGAAATATGATAGGCAACCCTTCATTGCATCTAAATGTTGTAGGACTCGTCTGCATTTTAGCTTGCATTCTTCTGTGATTTATTAAAGGGCATACTGACACGCAAAACATGATTTTTACTTCTTCTTTTTTTTTTTACCACTGCATGTGTAACTTAAGTAACGTAATTTTATTGACATTAGTAACTGTAATCAAATTACATAAATTTAAAATGTAACGCATTTACTGCATTACCAGGAAAAGTAATTATAATACAGTAACGCATTATACCCAACTCTGCATATGACCCTTTTTGTTTGGTATTTATAGCCCTCATGTTGCCATTGTCTCTTGTCGTGTATTGAATGTATGTGACCCTGCTCTCGGTGAGTGTTCAAGTCTAATCTCTTTGTTTTGTATTTATGTTGAATAAATAAACCGCACTTCGGTTCTTAAACTTGCCATTCAGTGGACTGTTTGTTACAGAATACACGGCCGTTACAGTGGACCCAGCAGTTTCTTTGCTTCACCTACATCAAGGTAATCATTGCTGATTGTGACTTTTGTGGACTGTGCCATTTGGTGGATTTTAATGATGTGGCTTTAAAGGACATTTTTTGACATGGACTTAAAGATTCTCTTAATTACCTCATGCTTCGCCATACCCCTCACTGGACTCTTGAGCAATATATTGACTTTACATTATTGGTGAGTGGGTCTGCTTTCACTGTGGGTGACATGAAGGAGGAACACGGCACTTCACTATGTCTCATCACATTATGACTGCTACACTGGAGCAATTTCACATCCCAACAGTTATGTCTGGAGTTGTTCACGTCATGCCTGCCAAGCCAAAGCCTGCTCACTTCATGTCTGCTCACGTCATGCCTGCTACTCCAGGGCCTGCTCACGTCACGCTTGCCAAGCCAGAGCCTGCTCACCTCATGTCTGCTACACCAACGCCTGCTCACAGAATGTCTGTTACGCCAAAGCCTCTTCACGTCATGTCTGCCAAACCAGAGCCTGCTCACATCATGCCGGCCACTCAAGAGCCTCGTCACAAGATGGCCGCCACGCCTGAGGGAGCTTGGGCCAGGACTGAAAGGACTGTTTGCCAGTGTGATGGACCCTCCACTGATATTAGTGATAGTAGCTGGCATCCCCAGGGCCTCAGCACTGGCTATCACAGAGGCTGTTCCCCTATTCTCAGTGCTCCCTGTTATGGCCATAGCCATCCTGAGTGCTTGGGCTGCACACTGCACTCCTGAGGCCTCTCCTGTCCACGAATCTGTCCCAGAGGCCTCTCCTGTCCATAAGTCTGCCTCAGAGGCCTCTCCTATCCACGACTTTGCCTCAGGAGCCTCTCCTCCATGAATCCGCTCCAGTGCCTACAGAGGTGGCGGCTTCCGCTGCAGAACCTCCTGGGGTGATGGCGCCCACTTCTGAACTCTCTGCCTGTCCTATCACGGCCATGGAGGACGTCCATAAACTCACAGTCTGTCCAGCTACAGCCATGGAGGCTGTCCATGAACTCTTTGCCCATCTTGTCACTGCCAAGGGGGCCATCCATGAACTCTCTGCTTGTCCTTTTATGGCCGTAGAGGCCATTGGCCACCGGGACAAGACCACAGGAACCAGATGAGTCCTCTGCACAATGAGACTTTTCTGCAGCCTGGAATTGAACTGCTGGTTTCGTCTGGCCAGAGAGTTGGGGACACTTAATTTCCAGCGATATCGTTGACTTGATTGCACAGACACTAACTGAGCTGGATGATGACATCACTGAATTCAATGATGAACTGCCTTTAACTGAAAAATTAGTGTTTACTATTGTCATTTTGCATTATTGATGCAATATTTTCCTAATTAATGCTGTACAGTTGCTTTGACACGATGTGTATTGTTAAAAGTGCTATATAAATAAAGGTGACTTGACTTGACTTGACTAGTCATCATTTATTTGACTGGTGCTCATAGGTATATTCTTGGTCACACTTTAAGGTCCAGTTCTTGCCATTAACAAAACATTAACTATGACATTTGTCTCAATAAACTCCTAATTTGCAGGTATTAAGTAGGATTAGGGATGTAGAATATGGTCATGCAGTATATGTGCTTCATAAGCACTAATAAACAGTCATTATGCTAATACTATGCATGCTAATAAGCAACTAGTTAATAGTGAGAACTGGTCCCTATACTAAAGTGTTACCATATTCTGTGTATAACTGGGGTCTGGTGAAAACACATCACATCTGTTTTTGCGAGTGTACAATTTTGCATTCTTTATGATACACGCATATACTGCATGATTTGAAGCGTCAGTCATGTCTGTAGCACAAACAGTGCAGGAAAAGTTAGGTGCCAAATTTAATGCTTAGGGTCAGGAGTTTGTCTCAAATCCTTAACTCCAAGTATGACCAATAATAATTATAATGCTTGCCTTAAGAAGAACCCCTATTAATTAGAATAATATTTTAGAAGCAGAGTATTTTGATATATTGCTAGTAAGTTTAAACAAGTTAGGTATTGAACAAATTGACTTGCACTGAAACAATCAATGATCCATTGAGAGGGGAAGAGATAGCGAAAGAGATAGCATTGCTAATCCTCTGATAGTTGAAAGGCCAAAGCAGGATTAGTTGAGTTCTGGGTGTAAAGCTGTCTTCAAAGCACTGGGCGAGCCCTGATGGTATAAATAGGGCTGCAGCATCTAAGCCATCTTTCACGAGTCGGTTAATTTCATCCTGGACTGCTGCTGATTAAGGTTTGAGGTTGAGGAATGAAATTGTTATGACACAAGTCTTCATATGTTATTTAATTAAACTTCATTATTTTAAAATTCATCTGTATAATATTCTCTCTCTATTTTGATGTTTTTAATCAAGTAATGATTTGCAGAAATAAGAAAGCTCCAAACATCATCTTGTTTAAACTCCGTCTTCCAATACGGGATTATGGGAAATAGTGCTTTGGCGCACGCACAGCCGATATACACTCGAAATCTGAGGTCATTGTGGGTATAAAGGAGGGGATGAATATGACGAACAAAGCTGTTAGCTCAGAATTCAGACACCATTATAAAATATGCTGAGACCCTATAGTGCTTGAAAATTTATTTGTTCCATTCCGATCTCTTCTGTTTTTCAGTATATGTAATACTAAATAAAATATAGGGAGAACTTTCGGACACAGCAATAGTGATTTTTGTAGGTGGTTATTGCTGATGGGTTTAAACCAAGTGTGCGATACATACATAGCATGTGTTGAGAATTGATTACACACGTGAGTGGAATCATACACATGGTTGGCCAAGCTTTTCAGCTCACACTTTCAGTGCTCAGCACTCACAATATCGCCACTTCTCAGAGATTACTATGTTTAAAGCCAGCAAACAAATAAATATGAATGCTTGAAGATGCATAACAAGCATCTGATTGCTTGCAGATGTGTAAGAAAGCATATGAAAAACTGAAGTATTTTACATGGAACAACGGGATAATTTGACAACTTTTATTGCAAAAGAAATTCAATAGGCTCTAAGAATTGTATGCATCTGATTGCTTGCAGATGTGTAAGAAAGCATATGAAAAACTGAAGTATTTTACATGGAACAACTGGGGATAATTTGACAACTTTTATTGCAAAAGAAATTCAATAGGCTCTAAGAATTGTAATCCTGAGCATTTTGTATGTAGTATGTAGTGAGCATGTATAGTATGTAAGTGTTTTTCCTGAAATGTTTCAGTTGTTCAGACAACAGCCTCTGTAATGGCAGCATCACACATTTTTACACAAGGAAATTATTGAATAGCGTTTTAGTTTGTAAACCTCTGGTAGTTAAGGTCAGACTGGATTACGAGGCAGTGCTCTTATGTGCTGCATCAGATCAGTGACGCTCTTACAGAAATCCTGATCTCTGTAGATCTTCATCACTGAGGCCACCACGTGCCTTAAACACACACACACACACACACACACACACACAC